TCAACACCAACTCCATGAATGGAAGAGTTCTCTTCAGTGGCTATGAAAACAACAACCACATTGGATTTAAGTTTTGGCTTTGTCTACCCAAGCTTCTTCAGTAGCTCGGTTACAAGGGCAACATGTCCCAAACAATCTGTTGTCCCGAACCCTCAAATTTTGTCTCCTTTAATGCTCACTGAAAATGGATCAAAATCCTGTACAATTTCAGAAATTATTGATTATTTTCATGCTTCTCCATTTTAGCCTGAAGAACCCTAGTTGATAGATGTTTCACACAAACCCATAAAAATATGATGTTAAGACAGTTGAATAACATTCAATCACGATAAACAAAAAAACTACTCCTACTTGAAATTCAACAATGATATGAGATTTTATAAGAGGATAATACACACCCATTCATAAGGATTAGCAGTGACGACGTCCATGTAGATTCCGACAAAAGAAAGGATCTTTTTGGCTTCAATTCTAGGGTGCTCCAATATGATATTCCCTCTATTGGGTTTATATGTGACATGGTTGAGGATGAGTGGGCTGCGACTGTTGATGGTGTTGTGCGGGAGGTGGGATTCACGAACATGGCAGACCATTAAATCCTCCCCCGGGATGAGGTCCAGCGGATTGTTCAAACACATGAGAAGGGAGGCAGAAAATGGTGGAGAATAGAGGATTAGGGTTGTAGTGGTTGACTGTGAGAGGGATTTAGGGTTTCCTTCGGTTACCCCCTTCACATCTTCGAAAATATTCATATGGTGGAGGATAAAGATGAGAGAAAACTACATGGAGAAGGAGAGATGAGAAGGTGGATGTGTCTATTATGGGTTGTTCAACTGGTAGCTTTGATTGACGGTTAAAGAGTCGAAGTTTTCGATCGACTTTACAATCGAAAGGAGTTGCAGTCGCTGAACCATTTAGTGTGAGCATCAATTTGGAAGAAATCTCAAACCGTTAACCTTAAACATGATGTGAAGCAATTGATCCATAATCTTCTTTGTCTCCGTCAATTCCTTGGGCTCACATAATTGGAAGATTGTGGAAATGAAGTGTTCTTCGAGAAGGAAGGCGCATCGTCGTAGTTTGAGGCTAGAAGAGGCAATGAGGATTGGAGGCAGTGGATGAGGGTGAAGGGTGGATATGAGGGAGAAGAAGGCCGAGGTTTAAAATTTTTAGGGATTTCATTTTCCCAGGAGACGCGTGTTTCTTAAAAAAATATATAAAACGACATTCATAGAGGACACACATTTTAGATAAAGTGTCCTCTATGCTTTTAATTTTTTTACATAAGACACTATACTAAGAGCACACAATAATGCGTGACCTAAATCCTTAAATTTTTTGAAGAGATGACAGTCTTTTTAATGTCACTTTCTTTTGCGTAACATAAATCAATGAGTGTCGTGGTTTACACATCTTAAAAGGGTTTTTTTTCTCGTAGTGATATAGTTTTTATCGTGTATATACGTATTCGATAATTATATTTATTGTTATTTTAACTGGATATTTAGGCAAGTTAACAAGTAAGTACAATGGAAATCCTAAATCTTGACTAGCATAACTCCTAGGTACTATGTTTTCCTAGGGATTTAGGATCATAATATATGGGTAATAGCTACTCCTAGATTATCAGACATGATTTCATTTGGATACAGATTGTAACTGAAATCTAGGTATACTATCTATAGTTATACTATCCTACGATATGTAGCTTATTATAAAATGACTTAATATTTAAAAAATAAATATTTTTATAAACTGATTTGTTAAGCATCTATTCCCCCCCCCCCCCTAAAAACATTTTGAAACAGTAAAATAGGTGTCATGAAGTCACTCTAGGGTTTGAAACCGCTAATGTAGGGTAGAGACGAGCTCCGAACTCCGAGGACTGCTCCACGAGGTAACACACAAACCATATGTGTTGGAGTGAATGGAAAAACACTCTATTTATAGTCGTGTTTTGGGGGTGCACGTCGTGACTTTCCTAGGTGGGTTTTGCATTGAAACACTATAACTCCATAGGAAGTTGCCACGTGTCCCCACCCTACTCCGCCATGTCACTCGTAATCTTTTTGAATCCGATGTTAGGTGCACGAAGCATAGTGGCGCGCACTTGACGCGCAAGTAAATATTTTTCAAAAATCATTACTTCCTCGTTCGTGCTCTAATCTACACCCCCTCTATATCTATGTGACAATTTCAATGGGTACTACAACTTTCCTTTTGGTTGTTTTGGCCGGTTTTGACTTTCATTTTCGAGCCCGACGGGGGTAAGAATAAACGGATTTATAAAAATCATAACATACTCATATGGATCCCATTTTCGACAAACTTTTTCCTAAAGTTTATATCTCAAGGAGTACTACGAAACTCCTTTTTAAACTTTTAGTCAAAACTGAACAAATTTGTATGTAACGTTTTGACGTAATTAATTCTAACTACCTGGTTGATTTCTATTTTTATAAAATCCATAACTCTCTTCTTCGCAGTCTGATATTTATGAATCTTATATCCTTAAGATCATGTTAACATGTACTATCCATGTAGGTTAACCAAATAAGAAAATATTACAACTTTTTGATCGCTAATTTTTAGAGCCTAATGGATTATTTTTAGCAAATAAATGTAACAACATATCTGATTTTATAATCTTAAAAATCGAATGTTATAATGCTTTCTTTTACAATTATTTTCCTATTATTTCCTAACAGTGACAAGTGACATAATTTTCTTTGGGTTCTCACAGTCTCCCCTATTTAGAAAAAATTTTTCCGAAATTTTAACTGGTGGATGGATTTATTTTAGAATAACCGAGGGTACTTGTTCTTCATTTGATCTTCTCTTTCGCATGTATACCCCGCGCCTTGGTTAGAGTTTCATCGTACCTTAAGTATGGGAATCTAAATCTGCTTGACTTGTTTGACCTCTCTGTCCATTATTTCGACTTGTTCTTCCATGAAGTTCGGCTTAAGGTTAACCTGAATTTGATCAAGTGCAATGACGAGTGTATCGTCAGAAAATTTGACATGCTGGAATTTGGGTCATCGACTACGAAGGACTAAATTAGAGTAAATCTTTTTATAATTTAACTCATTTAGTTTTAGTGCATCTAATGTAAAATAAATGAGTTCATTTCAAATATTATAAGATATCAAACGATACTTTATTTCCAAATGTCTAAACTGTCTCTGGTTAATGCCTCTGAAAAACTGTAAAATTGTATTAAGTTGTTACGACAAAAGAAAACATTAAAACCATATAGTACATGTTCCCATGTTTCCAAAAATATAAAGAACATCCAAAACAAAGTTCGTATGCAAAAGATATGACAGTTTTAAGAACACAGACAATAAAAGAATTGTTTTCTGTAATTGCATGAAACCAAATCGATCTGTTGAGGCACTTACACACATCCGATGGAATTTACGAGAGCATTTTTGGACTTAGAATACATCCCAATATTTAATTTCATACTCAAAATATATTTAACAAAAATATTTAGATGTGAAACTTTGAACGCGATTTCCCTGATTTGGTTTTTTAGCACTTAGTCTTGGTGGGCCCTACTTCAAATGACTAACCACTCCTTGCCTTTATACCGATGTTTCTTTTCATCTTCCTGAGTGCATTCCTGCTTCCTTACACTCCACCCAAAGCTACATGTATAAGGAAATGGTGTGTAAATTGGATTTTGAAGTAAGCTTATTAATCCTTGAGGGTGAATTGTTATGCTAAAAATAGAGGCACTTAGGACTTGATCATCCTTACCAATTGATAAATCAGTTCTTCTGATTTTGTAACACCATAACACCACCATAATGCCACCACCGAACCAACACTCCATCACCACCTTTTGTTGTTTTCTTGACCAACAGCCCTCCCAAACACCCCTCCACCTCCGATCTATCTTCTCCTTCACTTTACCTTCATCAAACAGCAGCAGAAACCGGCAGCAGGAGGCTGCTAGACTTCCTCTCCTGCCACCTCCAATCACACTGCTGCCACTACCAAAAATAACCCTCCATTGTTGTTGTACTACTGCTTGTTAGGTCCCTCCATCCCCCTATGTCTTCTTCTTCACCGAAAAACAAAGAAAACCTACAGTTGGAGGCCGCCATACTTCTTCCATCTTCATAGGACCACCACTGCCAGCTTTCCACTACCGATCACCACCCCCTTCGATCTCCATCTTCCACTGTAAGCAGGGGCAGATGTGTGTGGTGCCCGAGGGGTCTCGGGCCACTACTCCGCTTCGGTTCATAAAGGTAAAAAAAATTCTATTAGGTGCACCGACTTCAAATTTGTTCGGGTGACACTATACTTTCCGGTGACACTTTACTTTCGAGGCCCATAAAATATAAAGTGTAAAAAATGGTAGTCCAAAAAACATAAAGAAAATTAGCCTATTAGCATAAATGCATTGTGAGTGGCCCAAGTTCCTTATTAAGTTTTTAACCTAATTGATCCACATACCTACCCGTTACCCAATACCCATCTTAGCCAAAGAAAAGAAGAAGATATCGATCCTGAAAAGAAAAAAAATTAGCACAACACCTATGTGAAACCTGCGAACAGCGAACAAGCCAACGAGAAGAAAAAAAAATCAGCCTCCCTTCCTGCCTCCATTCAATCGATTTTGCTTGGCTTGGCTTCTCAATCCTTTCAAACCTACAAATACAATGAAACACCTAAGTATTGATAATTTTAGGTTTATGAAATTAGTCAAATTAGTTGCTTTTTTGTTGAAATTTCCTATTTTTTAGTGAAATTAGTAGTTGTTAACCTTGAAATTACACGTTTACTTGTAACTTGTTGTTAGAATGTTCGATACTTAGATTGTTAACCTTAAAATTATTCAAATTTGTTTGTTTTCCATTGAGGTTTTCAACAATTGGATGGCTATTTGTTTGATATTGAATTGTTAGAATAAAATTGGGTCCTTTTTTGGAAGAACAAGAATCAATAAATCGAGTGTTGGAGAATCCTCAAAAAGACCATGCTCCAATGATTTATGTTTTGAAGAATCCTCTAAAAGACCATATCCTTCTAATCAATCATTCCCTTCGGTTTCTAATGTAAATTCACAACCTACAACTACTCCAATTACAATTGTTGAATTGAAAGATCTTCCAAGAGACCTGGGTGTTAGACCAAAGATTACAAGTTACAATCCAAATCAAAGAGATGAAATAAGGAGGGCATATTTGCTTCAAGGACCTTGTCGACCAAGTGGTCATACATTCCCTTCAAAGAAAATAGGTTCAAAAGAAAGACGTTTTGTTATTAAGTGGTTTGATGACTTTGATTGGTTAGAATATAGCATAAAAGAGAACAAAGCATTTTGTTTATTTTGCTATGTATGTGGAAACATGTTGGGAAAACAACATAAGAGAGATGCATTTGTTTCACAAGGTTTTGATCGTTAGAATAAAAGACAGTCATTAAGAGATCATATGGGTGGTATTGATAGTTTTCATGACAAAGCAAAAGAAAATTGTGAATTTTTATTGAAAGAAAAACAATCTATTAGTGCAGCCTTCAAGAAGCAAACCAAGATTGAGGAGAGTAATTATAAACTTCGTTTAGGTGCTTCAATTTGGTGTTGTAAATTTTTATTGAAAAATGGTTTACCATTTCGGGTTCATGATGAGTCGAGTGACTCTCTTAATAGAGGGCTTTTCATGGAGTTATTATCTTTCTTAAGAGACCATAATGAAGGCATTCACAATGTTACCTTAGAAAATGCTCCTCAAGATAATCAAGTGACGTGCTCGAGGACTCAAAAGCAAATTGTTGAATGCTTTTCAACAGATATAGTTGTAGATATTTGCAAAGAAATTGGTAAAGATGTGTTTTCTTTATTGGTTGATGAATCTAGGGATGTATCAAAAAAAGAACAAATGACCATAGTTTTGTGGTATGTCGACAATTTTGGAGTAATAAAGGAAAGATTCATTGGAGTGGTGCATGTGAAGGATACATCCTCTTTGACTCCTAAAGCTGCCATAGATGATGTTTTTACTCGTAAAAGTTTGAGTGTGTCCCAGGTAAATATAACAACTTTTTATTCCTTATTATGAATTTTAATTGAATATTATTGGAGTTAATGTTTAATATCTTTTTTTATCAGGTAAGAGGACAAGGTTACGATGGGGCAAGCAATATGCGAAGGGCATTTAATTGTCTAAAAGCTTTGATTTTACAAGAAAATGATTCAGTGCATTATGTGCATTGCTTTCCACACCAACTTCAGTTAGTTATTGTGGGTGTAGCAAAGAAGCATGATGGTGTGGACGATTTCTTTGAGCAACTTTCTTTGGTGGTTAATGTGGTAGCTGGATCATGTAAAAGACAAGACATGCTACGGGAAAGTCAAAGATAAAGGGTGCAATTGTCAATTGGAAATGGTGAACTTGCAACTGGAAGAGGGTTAAATCAAGAGAGCTCGCTTATTCGAGTGGGAGATACAAGATGGGGTTCACATTTCAAAACCATCACAAGTTTGATGAACTTATTTTCGGAGGTTCGTCATGTTCTTGTTTATGTCGAAGAGGAAGGATCCACTTTAAGTAACCGAAATCAAGCATTTGGTATCTTAAAATATTTCAAGACATTAGATTTCGTGTTATACTTACATTTTATGCATGAAATTTTACATCTCACAAACGTATTCTCAAAGCATCTTCAAAAAAATGATCAAGATATATTATAAGCGGCTTCTTTGGTTAGAGGGACAATGGACGCATTGATGTCTTTGAGAGACACGAGGTTTGCCAAACTTTTATCAAAGGTATTCTCTTTTTGTCAAAAACGTGATATTAATATTGTGGAGATGACGGAAAATTATGTCACATCAAGAGGCCGTAAGACTAAAGTTACGAATCAATTTCAATTTGAAGTTGAAATTTTCAACACCGTCATGGATATGCAAATTATAGAATTCGGGGACCGATTTAGTGAATTTAGCACCCGATTACTAGAATACATGGGGGCTTTGAGTCCATGTGATTCATTTGCTAAATTTGACAAAACAAAGTAGTTAAAGTTGATGGAGTTGTACAAAAAAGATTTTGATGATGTGGAGAGGATGTAACTTGATGGTGAACTTGAAATATACTATCACACTTTACATAAAGATGACTGGTTCCCTAGTTTGCAAGGAATTTCCGACATTTCTTGTTTGATGGTGGAAACGGGAAAACATCGATCGTATCCTATGGTTTATAGGTTTTTGAAGTTGGTTTTGGTTTTACCCGTTGCAACCGCAACAGTCGAAAGATGTTTTCAGCAATGAAGTTGTTAAAGACGGATTTGCGTAACAAAATAGGTGATGATTTTTTGAATGATGTCATGATTTCTTATGTTAAAAAAGAAGCACTTATGAAAGTGAAGATCGAAGATGTAATGGATCGGTTTCAAAAAATATGTACCCATAGATGTCAAATTTAAATATTAAGATATAATGGATCGGTTTGATGTATTAGTATTTTTAATCTTTTTTTATGTTATTATATTTGGACAAAAAAAAATTGTGCCACTGCTATGACAACTTTCTGTGTCCGCCACCGACTATAAGTCCTCCCGACCAACTTTGTTATTTTTTTATCTAACCCGAACAAGAAGCCAATCGTTGCTCTTTTTTTCTCGATACATGGCAGCGATGAAGCAGGAGGGATTATCTTTTGTGCAATTCCTTCAAGTACTGTACACACTTCAATTGCAAATAAACCATTTATATCTAGTTTTAAAACTGTACAATTTCAGTCCAAATGACAATAAATTTATTTAAATTATCCAAAATGCCCCCTCCATTTTGAAATTCTATCACAAAACTAATCCAAACCTTCAAACTTTACTTAAAAGTTTCAAATACTACCCCTATGTGGAAAAAATTATTTCAAATAAATTTTTGACTAAATCAAAATTTTGAAAAATATTAAACTTAATTTTTAGACAAAATTTATTTAAATAAATTTTGATTTTTTATTTTTGGATTAACTAAACTTTTTAAAATTATTAAATAAGTCCTATACTTTGTTAAAATACCAAATACCATTCTAAATATTATTTTGTATCGAAATATTTTAGAGAATTAAAATAAGCCCGAAAGTTTCAATTCACGACAATACATCATGTTTCTCGCATCCAATATTCCAAAAAAAAAAAAAAAAAAAACACTCGATGACCGCACGTTAATGGGAGTGTTACGACCCCTCTTTTGTATTTACTTAATTTTGGAGAGAATACATGTAGTAAGTATTATAAATTAACAAAAACATTACAACACTACCTTTTGACTACTTATGGTACGGGGACTCATGTTTGATGGTTCGTGTCTGGCCCTCGTCTACACATAGTAGTTACAAAACATTTTTTAACACATATATTATATGTAAAAAATAGGGTCTTAAACTTTAATATCCTAGTATGTTATGTTGTTAGAATAATACAACTATTAAAATAACATTTTCCTATTTACTATGTAGTATATACAAGAAACATACTTAGTTTATAAAGATTGTACCTTATATTACCCATGCATACCATTTATGCTCGTATTTTATATACTCTATAAAAATTAATTATGTCTAATAACACATCCACTTATAAGTTAAGGTGAGATCTTCAAGTACCGTAGTTAAGGGATTTTTAGTGAGAGTTTTTCATTAGTTGAGTCTAACACACTAGTACACCCACACTACTATAACCGTTAATCATCCGAGCGAGATACATATGTATTGATCTATATGGGGTTGACATCCCCACCAATGGTTACTAGCTACAACCTTAATTGATCAAACGAAGCGGGTGATAAGGGTCTATATTTGTTACTACAACGTCCAATGAAACATTGTATGGGGTACATGCAGTCACACAGCTCGATTATAGAACTCACTATAAACATTAACTAAAAACTTTCATTTTAAAAAAACCATGGATTTTGTTGTTTTCAAACTATTTCTATGTATGGTTATACTTACAAAGACAAATACTTTTTAGACTTTTTAAAATTATTTTACTGCGGTTAGCAGAAAATCTGAAAATCTCACCAACCTTGTGTTGACTTTCAAACTACATGTATTCTCAGGGAATCAGTGATTTCAAGCATATTCAAACATTGGAAAATCAAGGATTGTAGGAAATTTAAATTTCTAGTTTTGTAATGTCAAGTCTAACTGTTATGGCAATTCATGTATTACTATTATTTATAAGAACCCTGTATTCAAACCTAAAGATGGAATACGAATGTTGTGTTCTTTTATTCTTCTACTTTTGCTATATATTTTGTTTATCTGTGATCCATGAATTTAGGCGCACAACCTAACATGTTCAGCCGCCTCGGCTGGGGTGTGACATATTGGTAACCAAGCGAAATGGGTTAAAAATAACTCGTATCCTCGAAAGAGAAATACAACTATAACAACTAGCTTCTAATGAAAGTATTATTAATAATAATAGTACTTCTCGAGTACTTACGCAACTAGGAATCATGCTGTAAGGGACACTTGGGTTGTTGGATTATTGAATGACTTAATTCCTAAAATGATCTTACCTTCTTGTGATTCATGCATGGCCTTCGTATTTGCTTGGTAGTGTTGAAATGCTAAACAAAGATTAGTAATAGTATAAACCCCACCAACCATAATATAAAAGATTTATAGAGACTCTGACCCGCGATGAGGACACTTAATAAAATTCTAAACATCCCTTCAAATAAAACTACTGGCTAAACCTTTTAGGCTAGAAGCCTCAATTAATGGTAGTACCATACATAATCCATACCACAAATTAACCTGGAACACGCCCTTATGTTATTTATGGTTAGGGACAGTGCACAACCAACCTTAAGCAAGGAGTTTGATAGGCTACAAAGGTTGAGATTTTTAGAAGTTGAAGAATGTTCCCAAGATTTTTTCCAGCTACCTAGTACCCCTAGAGTCCTTATGTAAACCTTAAAACACTAATTCAACTTTAATACATTAAAGATGACTAACATACTTTACCTAAGACACTCTAGCTGATCACCCAGATGACGAGGAACAATCTGAGGATGAATAGGAGGATGATCCTAAATTTCAGGATGCCCAAGAGAATGACGATTATGGTCCTATCGAGGACGGGGAGGAACTTGTTGATGAGATACCAACCCTTCCTACTCCACCAGTCTATCCACCTAGACCATATTATTAGTTGTACCTCCTTCACGACAAGGGTCCCTGGTTGATGAGGGCCCCCAACGACGAGTGCTCTTCCTAATCACCACTTGGACCAGCAGCATAGGTTTCCCGACCCACTTATGGTCAATTAGGGAAACAGATCAGACCCAATGAGCCATCTTGTCTCCTAGACCTCCTCTACAAGAGGATGATTACTAATTTACCGCTACAATTCGAGGTTGGGAAATCTTCACCGGCACTACTCATGGATGACCCTGAGAAGGACCTACTATTGCGCCTCATGTCCCAAACTGATTAGTTAATTGATAGAGTTGGGTATTTGGAGAGTTTTCACAGAGACTCAGGATCTACTTCAGTCAGGTACCTGTTATATAGCACAAGATACATGATATAGATCCTTGAAAGAGAGGTTGCTACAACTCCGCATCAGGCGGTTGTCGCTGCACAGGAGAGATGCTACATCCTAGATCAGTTTGAGGAGTTTGTCATCTATATGTTGGCAAACTTTAGGAGATAGCTGCTTTATCTAGGTCGGCTTTTATTATTCAAGTGATTATGACTACCTGATTTGTATTTATCTTTCGTAAAGCTTTTCCAATTCTAACATTACCTGGTTTGATAAATTTTATAACCAAAAAAACCAGTTCCAATGAAAATATTTCAGTATTTTGTTAAATGTTTTCCCTTATTATGTATTGCTTGCAGAAGTCTATATTAAGTAAAACTTTCAATTTATGACTTGTAAATCAGTATGATTTCGGAAAACAAAAATTAATGAATACAAAATAAATGTATACTTTTTATAATTACATAGTGAAAAACAACTTAACATCTACATGTAAAACGTATTAGGACAATGCCTTCATGAAAAAGTCCACGGATCCGTTCACCACTAACTGCACGAGGTAACATAAGAAGTACTCTAGAAGTAACTCAAAAAACCGTAGAAACTCCGAACCATGCAAGATCTCTAGAAGAAACAAATGCAAACCCAACATTCCAAATGGATCCCACTGTGATGCAAAATGTGCTTGATCAAGGAATTACTATAACATTTGCAACATACGAGGCTCCCCGAAATGGGAATACTGGGAATAGTGGATGTGGCAGTTGAATAACTAACCAAAACATCTCCAAACATTGCTCTTACAAGGAATTCCTGGGCTTTAAACCTCGATCCTTCTATGGTATTAAAGGAGCTGTCGATCGATCCTATTAGATAAAAAATACGGAGGTATTTTTTCACATCTATTCTTTCCTTGATGAGTGTTGGTTCAAGTACACTACCTGCATACTGATGGAATCCACTTTAACTTGGCGGAATAACCATGAAAAATATATGGGAATCACTGAAGCCTATTTCATGGGCTAGGAACTAATGAAACAAATAATGATCATAGAATACTGTCCTTGACAGGAAATCCAGGCTCTAGAAAAAGAAATTTGAATCTTACCATGCAAGGATTTGAGGTAGCTGCCAACACTTCTCGATTCAATGACCTGGATAACCTTTAACCAGGAATGATGAGCTCGGAAGATAAGAAGACAAAGATGTACATTTGGGGACTAGCATCATCGGTACAAGGTTTGGTTACTGCATCCAAACCATCCACTTTTGATAGTGCTAAGCAATTGGCCAATTAGTTGAATTAGCAATGTATCCTTCAGGATACCATGACCCCATCAAAATAGAAGAAACAAATATGGGCACAAAGAGGAAGTCCCATGGAAAGCCGAAAGGGAACCTCAAACATTGCAGGCCAAATCCAGAACATGTAATATTGTAGGCTACAGTCACAAACACTATCACTCCAACAAAGCCCTACTCTTGATCTCTACCTCACTACAGTGAGTGAAACTAACATCATGTTGGAAATTACATGAACTATAGCAACTGAAACATAAAGGTTCACACCGCTACGTTTTGCAAAAAAGCCTCGAACAACACCACCCAAACTACTTCTGCAGGAGTAAGTCGAGCCTGCTTGGAATGAAACCAACCCGGACATTTTGAAGAAATACTGCCCTATGCTGAAGAATCCAGGTGGTAAAGGAATAGCATTCGTGATAGGTGTGGGAGATGCATGCCAAGAACCAACTGTGGCTACTGGTACGTTTCCTCTCAACAAATTTTTTTATTCTTCTGTTTTATTTGATAGTCGTGCCAATAGAAGCTTTATTTCCAACAAGTTTAGGAAGATGATAAATCATGAATCATTCAAATTGAATGAAGCTTACTTGGTAGAAGTAACAAATGGTTCAATAGAAAGCACTTTAAAAATGATCACTAGTTGCCT